CCCGTATTTTTCGCTATCGCTCGGCTCATCCGAGCACCGTTTGACAGCCGGGTTGTTTGTCAAGGGAGTCTCGTTGGATTTATGCGTTCGGTTCGCGGGAATGAGCGAGCATAAATAAATTGCTACAGCTTAACCTCAGATTGAACTTTCCCTGCGAAGTTCCCCGGAACGGGAGTAATTTTAATGAACGTGCGATTGTAGATTATGTACGCCGCGCAGAAGTACTGAAGTTGGATGACGTTCATTAAAATTCACTTCGATATCCTCGTGCGAACTTGACTCGTTAATTCTGCGCTCGCACGAAGTCAGAGTTGGAATCAATATTGTATGTTTCCGACTTCGATTACCTTTCAAAATGATATATCCTTCTGAGTGGAAGATTATGTAGATTTCCGTTGCAATCTTCGAAATTGCGAACTTAACGAATTAACCAGTGATCTCCTATACTTTCTTACATTATCGAGTCCTTCGTATTTATCACTTCATGATTTTTTGTATAGTTCGTTGTATTATCGAATCGTTCGTCGTATCTGTTGTTTCATTTTGTCGAACTTCTTAGACGCATTAGGTGAATAGAATTTTATATCGATCACACTTATTTTTAGCTGGCCAAGTTGATTTCGACAGGATATTATATTGTACGTTGTTCACTGAATACGGGAGAGCTCTATCAATATTAAATAGGAAGAGCTCTATCAATATCTCACCGAATTTGATGCATAAATTCATAAATTCCACAATCGAATTGTCAAGCGAGACGCAGAGGCCGGAGAGGAATGCAATATCGCGAGTCGGACCGGTTACTTATAGCGGCCCGTATAAACGGAGGGGAAGAATCCTTTTGCCATCCAATATAGAACGGTCCTCGCGGCAATTTACCGAGCGATATCGGGGGCTGAGTTAAAGTATGATTTCCGGTTGAAGGGGTTTCCATAGAAAATCTTTCGCCACCCGTGTTTCATTGATAAAACCAGGAAACGGCCGGGGAAAATGTGTATTCTGAATCGTGAGACTCGGCGGGGCTGATAAGCGACCCCTGACACGACCTTACGCTCGGTTGACCACCGAGAAGCATCATTTCTTTACATATACTTCCTTGCCGTTATATTTCATGATATTTAAATGATAGCTTATATAACGTGCATTATACATTACTCTCTAACTCGCAGATTCTTGCTAAATTCTGTCGCTTTATATTCGAATATCGCCATTTTGATTCCGTTCTCGAGATCTCAGTTGGAATTTCATTCCCGATTCCTTTAAATGATTAAAAAGACAACAGATGCTTCTCTGAGAAATTATTCGAGAAATTAGTCCAGCAACGACTGAAATCAATGAAAATTTCAAGAGATGCGAAAATGTCGATTAACTGCTCGGTTTTAGTGTTAAAGAACGTTCCAAAATCAGAATAAGAAAGCATTGTTCTTTAGTCAAAAGGACATTCGATAATTCCATATTATTCATCGAAACTTCTGAAGAATGGTGAGCATCGGAGTAATTAATATTCTCCCGAAGACAACCGATTTTTGCTGAATTTTTGGCGCACCAGTTTCATATTTTGCACCGCGCATTTTTACGACG